AAAAAAAAAAAAAAAAAAAAAAAAAAAAAAAAAAAAAAAGAAGCAATTTCCGTTAAAGTAAGGAGGAATGAATGAAACCATAGACGTCAATAGTCGGCTATCGAGCTGGAATTTAAGCTCGATTGTCTAATTGGCCCTAAAGCCATGGGCAAAAATATACCATAAGCTCAATTTGTAGCATTTTTGAGCGCCTTCTAAGATTTAGCACAGCGTTTGCTTGCCTTGGTTACCACAAGATCTTCCAAGATCACTTCAGATTAAAGTTGAATTAACTTATCTCTCATGAATATGCTCAAGAGGCGTCACATTACGAGGCAAAAGCTTAAGGCAAATATGATAAACGTTCCAGCATAATAATCTTATAAGCCAATAACTACAACAAATTAATATATTTGATTCATTTTATACACGTATATATATATATATTATATATATTATATATATATATATTTTATTTAATATACATTTAGTAAAATATGAAATATTAGCGATAGCAAAATGATTATAATGAATGATGATGGTGATGATGATGATGATGATGATGATGATGATGTTGATGATGATGATGATGCGAGATATCTTGAAAACGCTTAAATAATTGTGTGAACGTTTCCCCGCCCGCCTTATTAGTAACAATATTGCATCATTTATTCACGTTATCATTGTATTGATAGTTGATTTTTTTTTTTTTTTTTTTTTTTGTAGAAAATCGCTTGAAGAATCATTTAAAGAAACACGCATATACATAGAAAAATACACTTAATCCCTTTAGGTGCGCATTGTCAATTTTCATCAATTTCATCATTTCATTCATGAAACATATCCACATATTATAAACACATACAATAAGTAACATATTGCTCCTAAAGGATTCATACATTTATTGTTGGAAAGCATTTCAATTGAATTTTGTAAAAGAAAAGAATAATTTTTTTTTTTTTTTTTTTTGTATTTTGCGTAGAAAACGAAAGCAATTTAGATCGCAAAAAAAAAAAGAAAAATTCGAAGAAAAAAAAAAAAAATGCTACCTATTCACCTGTAGTAATATGCACTCTATCACTGAACACAAGTACACGTACGTGCATTTAACTATGAAATTTGATGCCCTTTTATTTTTCTCCGTAATCGAAACGCCCATCCTCCGCCCCGAAACAATTCCTTTTTCCAATCGATCACCGCATAGATTAAACAAACATCAATTTTAAGTAAATAGCTTCTAGAAGAGAGAGATATAATAAAAATGTATAAAATGTACTAAAACCACTTTCCAGAAAAATTGGATGGATCGTTTTCGAGGTCAAGATCTTCGTCCATGTCAAGCATAGACATGTCTTCCACGGAATCTGTTACCTGTTTAGCTTTTATGGAGAGCTTTGCCAAATTAAAAGGTAAATAGGAAATCTTATTTTCTCTCTCTCTCTCTCTCTCTCTCTCTCTCTCTCTCTCTCTCTCTCTCTCTCTCTCTCTCTCTCTCTCTTTCTTTCTTTCTTTCTTTCTTTCTTTCTTTCTTTCTTTCTCTCTCTTTCTCTTTCTCTCTATCTATCTATCTATCTATCTATCTATTTATCTATCTCCATCTCTATCTCTCTCTTGCTCTCTTCACGTTATTGCTAATTATTTTTTCCATTTTCCTTTTCAGATGTATTTTCTTTAGTTCCCACTTTATGGATTGGTACCAGTTTCGGTTCGGTGCTGACATTATTATTTAATATACCCGAACGTGATGTTAGAAGCTTGCAACCGATCTCTATCACTCTAAATGGTAAAATTCATCAGAGTTCTTATCTATCTTATCTATTTTTTGCCTCGTTCGTTTGTGCATTTGTTCTTTTTGCTTTCTGCTTTCTGCTTTCTGCTTTCTGGTACGCAGGTAAACCTATTCTGCGTTTAAAAGGCTCAATAACGTCGATGTCATTTTTGGATTCATTTGGCGCAATTATACCATCTTCCTATGAACCGTGGCGTAACGATAGTAAAGATACTAAAGATAATGGTACGTTTCTTAAGTGATCACGAAAAGGAATCCTTTATAAGTCCAATCTTGTTTTCCATTAGCTCATTTATTTCCGATTGCCTATGCGAAATATTCGCAGGCGCGATGTTTGCATCCGCGTCATAACTTCGGTTCACGTTCACTTCTCTTGTTTACTTTACTTCTTGAATTCATATCTCCCTGTAATATAGACGATCGTTATGTATGCGATAATTTAAGTTTAATCAGAGAAAGGCTTAACATTGACGGCCTTGTGTTCCCTCGAAATATGAATTTCACTTTTGTGACTCTAAGTGGCAGTGCGTACACGTCAATTCGATTCTTTCTCATAGAATGGGCTATCGATAAAATCGCCTTATCCACAGCACAGCCGGCAGCAGACGCCATATTCACTATATATGATTACGTGAATCTCTTGTATCGATTTTCAATTATTCGCATTACGAGATATAATGATCGTAAATTAACGCCCGCGAATATAAAAAAAACAAGAACCGGAACTTGGTGGAAATTTTGTTAATTGTACGTACAGTTATATAATTATATGAGGGACTTTAACAAGTTAGAATGTGAAAAGAAAACCAAAAAAAAAAAAAAAATGTCATGACATAACCTCAAAAGAAATGTAAAGAGTATCGAACGCACATCTAAAGACATTCCAGTAATATACGCTGTGCCGAACTAAGCACTTCTTTCTCGTAAATACATGCCCCTCGATTCCATTGTAGAATTAAATGTGAAATCAACAAAAAAAATTTCTTATATGAAATGTTGTTTATATATAGTTATATATCGATATATATAAATATATATTTAATATTTAATAATGATTTATCCGAATCGAAAATAGATTGTAGTCTTCAATTGAGTCCGACACGGACGCCAACAACTGCCAATACAACATCAAACACATCCGGGGGAAATGTGAGTAGCAGTGCGAGCAGTAGCGGCATTAGTGGCAGCGTTAGCACCGGTCTTGATACAATTGCCGATCGACAATTTGTTGTTGTGGCCAGCGATAAACAAACAAAGGTCTTCGATATTGTTAATCAATGTTGCGTTAATCGTATACATTTGTCTGAAATGGATTTTGCAGTTAAGGCGGAAACTATTTCAATGAAAGGTACGCGATCGACGATACCGCATAGCGTATGAGATAAACTGAGAAAAAAAAAATATGATTAAATTATCATTGCTTGTTTATTTATTTATTTTTTTTTTTGAATACAACTGCAGGCGGTACCTGCTTGGTGACCTATCTTTCAAATGGACATTTATTGGTTCATAGTCTTCCTAGTTTAAAATTGTTATTAGATGCTGATTTCTTACCGCTCATGGATTTAAGGTAAATTGTAATTGAACGAATCCGAACATTTGTAATCAATTTTCTTCTTTTTCTTCTTGTTCTTCTTCTTCTTTTTAGTTTTCAAACTAAATGCAAACAGGGAATAGTGGATCCAATGCTTTCGATATGGGGTCAACAAATCATTGTCCACGAAGATACAACACAGTATGTAAAGTGTACTTTCAATAAAGAAACATAACCAGCTAATACGTTCAATACTTATTTATATATTTCAGAATTTCTAAAATTTTTTGCTTCAGTAATAAAGGTCATGGTTTGTACATGGCGTCACCCACCGAAATTCAAAAGTTTACCATATCTGCAGAATTTTGGTAAATAAAAACTATATACATCAATATACATTAAATAGATTAAAAACAAGTAAAAATACTATAATGATCCAATACCCACCAATCCATCATTCAATCAATAACTTAGACTAACTCCTCACACAACACAATTACACAACACAATTACAACACAGCTTTTCAAAATAAGACGTTACATATGATGATGAGAAATGCGTGAAAAAGTGCTCGAATGCGAACCATGTCCAATGATCCATTATGCGTCCTCGGACCGAAACAGATCGATATTCATCGAATTTCATCGAAACATTTCAAAAATTGAGACCTTTAGGATGCATAAGAGCAATGCAAGACGGACAAGCAAGCAGGATTTACCTTAAATCTTTCTCGATATTGCGTACATCCACACAAACTTAATATAGATGATATTATGAGTAATTGTGAAGAACATTAATCGTATGCGCTCCTAATTTTTTTTTTTTTCTTTCTTTCATTTTCGCCTTAGGCTAACTCGTACACATAATTGACATAGGAGTGCGAAAGATTCAAAGGTTGCAATAACGACTTGCACGGAACTTTTCCCCAGAATACAAACTGTTGGGTGTATATCCGATAGCCTTGAGATTTTCGGGTAACGAACCGTTTATTTCTGTCCGTCCATTTTGGTCATATTCTAAGTCGCTGCCAAAATAAAAGATTTGATTTTTTTGAATCGCTTCAGCCACGGCCGTCCGCGTCTGTCTGCCCTCTATTAGCGGAGAATATCTCTATCCCTTGCCAAATCATCAATATTTAGGTATTGACGGGATGGCAATGGATATCGAAGGGAATATTATGGAAATGTTTCCATCTTTATATGCAACGTCATTCCATTTATGCAACGTTGCAACAGACATAAATGACCTATTGAATGGATTGTGATCATTGTGTGATCACTTTTATTGTTCCGCTCATTTCGTTCACTTATCACGACGTATCAAGCGTAATGATAAAATATTTTTTGTTTAGCGGAGACATCAACCGATATCACAATAACTTAATGTTTAATAAAGTTAGACATGGTGAGCTAATTACACATCAGTCAATCAATTTAATATAAAATGCTTGCAATATATATGCGATCATACTTTTCATATATGAAAATATTACTATATCGAATTTTATCAGGTATTTCGCATGAAATTATAATAAAAGATTTTTGAATGAATGACATTTGGTTGTATATGTCAGCTTCTAGGCCAACTGTAAGAAATTTCAATTATTTCGTTTTATTTACATTAATTTTTGCCTTCTCTACCAGAGAAAGAGATAGAAAATTGCTCTAATTTGGGAAAATTATTTTTTATTTGCATTTCAGTCAATTTATCACGGAAATGTTGGGTTCACTCTTTACGGTGCGAGAGATGCCAGAGCAGCCAAAAGAAAGCTTTTTTAAAGGTCTATTTGGTGGCGGTACCAAAAGTATCGACAGGGAGGAACTATGTATGATCGCTATGCAAGAAAAATAGTCAAAAAAACAAAGCAATGATTAACTAAACTCGGTTTTTTTTTTTTTTTTTTTTTATTTTTTATTTGAAGTTGGTGAACAAAGTGGCAAAGCAAATCGTTCTGTAGCTAAACACATTCCCGGTCCTACATTGGATCAGCTGGGTCAGCGTGCTTCAACCGCGGCCTCGGAAATTAGTCGCGCTCATCAGCTAGCCATGGAACGTGGCGAAAAGCTAAATTTACTTGAAGAGCGTGCGGAACGCATGGCGAATCAAGCTCAAGATTTCAGTGGCACAGCACATCAATTAATGCTTAGATACAAAGATAAGAAATGGTATCAGTTGTAAAATATTTATACTTTAGGAGCCAATTCTACCACAGTTATTGTAATATTGCTTTTATAACACTTTCTACTACATTTGAGAAAAAACAAAAAAAAAAAAAAAGAAAAGAACATGAAAACAAAAAAAAGAAAGAACAAAAACAAAAATTAAAATCGAAAAAACACTTATTTAATTTCTGTTTTTTGTCAAGCAAAACAAAAATCGTCATGTTATTTATAAAAAAAAAAAATAAAAAAAAAATAAAATAAAAAAAATCCAAAAAAATAAATTAAAAGAAAAAAAACATACACACACACACACGCAAACAAACAAACACATACATGCAAACATACACACACATAAAAGAAAGTAAAAGAAAAACAATAAAAAAAGGCAAAAATAAACAATAAAAAACAAAAAACAACAACAACAACAACAACCAAACCAAACCAAAATAAATACAAAAAGTGGAGAAAAATGAAAACCAAATAATAAAAATGAAAATGTTTTTAATAAAATATATATATATAGACCACAATAAAAACCAATAACAAGTATTATAAATTTACAAAATTCAACAGTAATTTGATTTAAGCATTTACCTCACTACACTATAGTGTTTACGATCGTGCAGAGCGCGCTGCCCCCTCCCCTCACCCTGTGATTTGTCTATCGTATAATCAAAACGCAATTTTCTATTGGCATGTCACGTCGACGTATAGTATATGAACTCGCAAATCTCCGTTTCTGTCCAATCTGCCAATATCGTTAGGAGAAAAATAAAACAAAAAAATATCCGCTTCAAAGTGCTAGATGATCCTTCAGAAGGCCTCTTTTTTTTCTTTTTTTTTTTGCATTCATCAGTGTTTCCGAATAAATCGAAATAAAGCTCTTTTTATGAAGTGACAGCAAACATGTCCATGTTGCGCTCCAATAAAAGTGACAGGGAGTGTTCTCTATATAACCTATGATCATCGAAAGAAAATACGCGATCATAAATACAGATAAGAGTAATTGATTTATTATAAAATTATGGAAGATGGTGTCATCTTAACGATGGTGTCATCTTAACATCAATTTTGCAAACTTACTATCCTACTATTCTTACAGGGATCATTCTTGTTGATCTCAAAGATGTCATAGATCTCAAAAATGGGCGAATTTCTTTAATTTTCAAAATTTTCAAATTGTTGTTGTTAAGGTGACAACAATATTTCACCAAAGAGGTCAGCAGGAATGTGAGAATTGAGGGAAAAAGCTTATGGCACAATGCGACCGAACAAAACGTAGGAAATCTCGCTATGAATTGTTGGAAACGATTGTTTGCGTTGCGATGGAGATAAATAATCGAGAATTTGAATATGACCGAAAGTATGAAACATAAAATTATCCTAAAGAATTTTCATAAGAAAAACAAAATGCGAAAAATTTATGCTCGATTTGTTTCGATCGCCTTACATTACATTAGCAGTGTCGCTGTATGTCAATTTATGCCGATACTCGAGCATCGCCGATATTCCGTAATTCCGTGTTCCCTTTGTCACACAACTTCCTTTTCTCCAAACTGAAACTGATCACAAAAACCCGAATTTACGCAGCCCATTAAGCCGCGACGATTTTCAATGCGTAAGTCTTTTTACTCGATGCTCGAGCTTCAAGAAACTAATAGAGATGGCGAAGCATAGGCAAAACAATAACTTCGCTGCATTAAATCATAAAAATAAATTCTTTTTTGCATAGAATTATAACTGAGTAACTCTTCTTATGCCCATCACCATCAAGGATAAGGGATGCATTCACTTTGTCTTCATTCACATTTGCAACATTCAGAAGGAAGGTCCAGAAGGTCCGTTTGTCTCTTTGTCAGTCTCTCAGTCTGTCTATCTACCTGTCTGTGGTAAAACATTCATTTTTGTTCGATAAAACTAAGCTCTCGTCTTCAAATTTGCTTAAAAATATTGAAAATTCTTGCATGCAGGCTAAGTTGGTCAGAACATACGTTCACAGTAAATCGTAAACTGGACACATATCTGTTTCTGCAAGCAAAAATTTGTAATTTTTACTTATTGCTGTCAATTATTCATTTTATGGAGGAGGTGGAGGATTCGATTTTTCTTAACAGCCTAATCAATGGGTGATTAAATAAAAAGTCTTGGAGAGTGAAGTGTGGCAAGCCAAGTGGGTTCACTTGATATAATTTTGGAATAGTTTTCTCTCAGCAAAACCAGGACTTGGAATATAGATATACAGATAGATAAGATGACACTGATGAGTATAAAAGAATCGATCGCGCGATCGAATATAATTTACTTACTTTTGTTTTAGATGTTTTAGGTCACATGATTTATAGCCATACACCTTGTACATAGATACCATTTTTTCCATCTATAGAAATTTCTTTAACGATATGTACACATATGCAAAAATACATTACACGTATTTAATAAAGAATGTCATAAGAAGTTTGAGTCGGGGGAAAACAATAAAGCATGGAAGAGAATATGTGTTGGACTCTCTCTCTCTCTCTCTCTATCCTGAATTATGATCGATTGACCGTAAAATGTTATCCCGGACTTTAGTCAAAGCCGTCGAAAAGATTCGCTGTTACAAATATTAGACAATGCTGTGAGTTTGTTTGGTTAGAGACGTGCGGCATATTACAGAAAAGAATCATACCTGGGCGGTTGCAGTCTTCAACGCTTTTCGAATCTAAGTGTACAAGTGCGCAAGTGAGGGCAATCTTCAAAAAAAATTGAAAAGTAAATTGAGAATTACATGATCTGAATTTGTGAAATGGAAGAAGACCCGAACGCATTCCTTACAAGTTTAAGCACAAGTTTAAGCCCAACCGTAGCAATCATATGGCAAACGATTAGGTTTCCCACAAAAAGGCACAAATTCCGTGCCAAATGTGGTGAAGATTCGGAACGTATCAAGTCCACCTTTAGATTTGTCTCTTCTATTCAGCCTTAACAACAAAGTGCTTAGAGTCTTAGATAGTTCATCCGTTAATCGAGTAATGGGTTTTTCTTTTGCTTACCATACCTAACCGACTGCATGAATATTAGGTCGTCTACTCAAAAGGTATGTTATTCGATTCAATGAAACAGGTTCGTTGACAAGGCGAGAGCATGTGTTGCTAAGACGCTAATGTAGGCATTACCTGAATCCGTCGACAAATTTAATTTTGAATACATTACAATAATAAATATTATATATATCAACAATTATGATACGTTACCGCTGATATGTTCTCTTAAAGCATTCTTCCCCATCATCAATTGATAATGTCTCACGTTCGCTGTAATTGAAGCTGAATTGATTTTTTCGATCATCGTTCGCCATCAACTTGAATCAGAATGATTTCATCTACAGGTTTCGGCTTCAATTTCGTCTTTATACCTGACATGACACTTTTGGTATGCGTCTATGTTAAGTGTTAAGTGTACGGACCCAGAACGACTTGTGATAGACGGATCATTTGTTTTGCCGAACGGGAGGATCGATCAGGATCATCACTTTTTGCATCCCTCTAAGCTTGTCTGTCTGTTTCTGGCATGTTTTTAAAATATTTTAATGAAATTTAGTGCAATTTAGTAGTGTTTTGGGTCCAAGGACTAACGCTATTGAAAACGTTTCGGATTGGAATACTTTTCCAACGATTTCCCATTCGTTTTTTGAAAAGTCGATATATAAATGACGGCAGGAGGGTGTACGGTATTTAATAGTAGACTGTATCTGACTGTATTGTGTTCTTAGCTGCTTTTCTTTTGCAAATTCGAAAATGTTGTAAATGAAAGTAAGACGAAGAGAAAAAAAAATCGCCACGACTCTTCACAATTATTTGAAAATGTTTTATTTGTTCTTGTTGTTGTTTTCGCCTATATTGGCTTTGCACACTAAATAAGACGGTCGCATCCAATTTTTGAAATGCACCTATCATACATACATAATATCGTAAAATTTTTTTAAAAATTTTTTTTTTTTTTTTTTTGTTTTTTTTTTTTTTTTTTGTTTTGTTTCTCACATCACGTTAGGTTATTCATTCTTTTCAATTTTCATTTTAATTCTTTTTGCATTTTTATAATATAATTATAATTATTATAATTATTATCATTATCAATATCATTATTATTATTATAATTATTATCATTATTATTATTATTATTATTATTTATTAATTAATAGACACAGACATACATTTATACAAATTACACTATATATATTATATTTATGCCATAAGTATTTCGCTTATGTTGTCTCTTAATTTAAATAAATATGTATAAAATTAAATAAATTTTATTTCTCTCACACAATACCTACAAATCGATTAAAAATGTTTGCATTAATATTTATTAATTAATTGATTAATTAATTAATTAGCTTGTAACTTACTTGCGGTTTTTCTTTTTCTTTTTCTTTTTTTTTTTCTGTTTTTAACCTCGAAAAAAACGAAAAGCAATGCGTGTAAAACAATTGATGATTAAAAAAAACATCTGCAACATTTCGTCAAAGCATAAGACTCCCTCTTTTCTGTCCAACTTTCATTCATATTTTAATGCGATATTTAGAAGACTATTTTCTAAGAGAATTTTGTATATCATTTTTATATAATAATATTGAGTAGCGGTACACAGCGATACTATGAATAGAGAATGCGATCGTTTTTTATCTCGCCTGAAGGCTTCTTCTATTTCTTAATCCAAATGCAATTGTATCTTCAATCCAATCTTCCAATCTTCCATACTCGTCTAGTTCAAGGATAAATTGAATTAAGCGCAAAAAAATTATTGAAATATTTTGAAAAGCAACAACAATCCCTTGAAATAGTTTTAATTTTATACTTTCCTACTCTTGACGTTAGCTGTATATACGTTGAGTACCTTGTTTATGTGAATTGCCGAACGAGACCATCAACGTGCTGTGACCTTTAAAGCAGTGCCACACATATTTCACTGCAATCGATATGTGTCGACTGTTTACGTCGCCTATATTCGGGGAAAATTTGTTTACAATTTCATACATACGGATGGAAGTTTTGAGAAATCTTGCCTACATATCCTTGAGCCCATACACTATAGAGCAAAGTGAGGCTTAGATTGCGCTTAGTGACGAGAATGTATTCAATATTC